GCTCCATGACTTTGGCCAACCTGGTGGTGTGGGCCATAGCATTTTAATCCATCATTGTAGAATAGCATGTTGGTGTTTTCCAAATGGCACCAGTTTCAACTTCAAAACAGCAAAGCATATTGCAGGTTTTATTTGTACCCATGGCAGTATTATTCTTGCTCTTTCCTCATTGCTACTCAGACTTGCCCAATACTTTCATAAACATTTCCATTTTCAAAGGATGGGGGCATTTTGGAAAAGCAGTTGGTACACTGTTATGGTAGAGGAGTCATTAGAGGACAAGTCTAGCAAACTTTCTCCAATTCTGGAAAGTTAGGATGAATGCAAATTACGTACTTTCACCACACTTGAATTGCTGTGGATTGGGAGTTTTCAGCTAGGATAGAAAAACTATTAACTTTATATCTGCACCTTTGCATTTGATTTTGGTGGATCAGATCCCAAGAACCAAATTAGTTTATATGAAATGTTGTAAATGTTTAGACTTACTGCTGTAGTATATCTGAGCAGCCTATATCAATCTACCCTCATTACATCCTTGTAAGATAAAATAGCCATAGTTTCTACATGGAGAAAATGAGACAGAGACAGGGTGGTAGTTTTGCCTAATGGTGTAGTAGAAATCTGACAGAACCAGGGACAGAGCATCTAAAACTATCCAAACTCCCTTTTAGACCTCACTGCTGCTCCTACTCTGTTCCTTCCTTGATTCCAACTCTCAGCTGTGCCATTTTCCCTTGCATGATTAGAGTAGATTTTGAGCTCCAGGCACAGCAACCTGAAAACATCTATTGTCTGCAAATTCTGACTGCTATGGCATCATTTTTCATTTTCTCTGCACCTAATGCTGTGTTGTCCTAGGTTAGAATATGGCTGTTGCCCTGTGGGGTCAGGCCAATGCTCAGGCTCTCAATATCCCACTGTTACATGGGAGGGTGTGACACAATTGCATGTCTACAAACACACAAATCAATTAGGTGCATACACACACACTACCAACTCAGGCACATACACATCCAAGATTACCAGGCTAGGCACATGCATACCTATCACCAGTTCAAGCACATACATGCTCTAATGATAATGACATGAAATCATACACAATACACACATACATACAGGTTAAACACTGACTCAGGTGACAGTGTGTGTGTTGATGCCTGTGGTACCTAGGCTTGGGGTGCTTGGTAACTAAAGAGCAAGTGGCAGAGATCAGGGGAAAAGGCAGTGGGGACAAGGCAATAACAGTGGCAGAAATCAGGGGAAAAGGCAGTGGGGATAAGGCAATAACAATGACGGAGATCAAGGGGAAAGGCAGTGGAGATGAGGCAATAGCAAAGAAACAGGGGTTTGCAGTCAGAGAGGAGCTCAGGACCACTGGAGCTACAGGATCATGGGACAGGTGTTGGAGGTGGCAGTGAGCCAGAAGCAGGAGAGGGTGAAATGAGCCAGAAGTTAGAGGGACGAGGAGCAGAGATTGGAGCAGGGCTGCAGCCGTAGTAAAGCAAAACCCAACTCAGGGTTCCAAATAATAGTTTTATTAAATGAACACTGTACTGTACAGCTTGGTTCCCACACACACTCACAGAAGCACTCCCACACACACAAACACAATGGTAGCAGGAGAAAGAGACTCAGTGGAAGGGTTGGAGTCCAGGTAGGGAAGAGAAACAGAGTCCAAGTCCTTGTTTCCAAAGGGGCTGTGGGTGATAGCTACCTATCCAGGCTGGGAAGGGGTCCTCGATGGCCAATCGGGGTCTTTCTCCAGCAGGTGTTGTCCAGAGGAGGGTCGCCGGCAGGACCTCTGGGTTTATTGGCAGTGTGACGTGGAGCAGGTATGGTCCAGGTGAAGATGGCATCCCAAGGAGTCAGTCCTCACTACCCCTTTTTATGGGGCAGACTACCTATGATCTCCTATGGGGAGGGCGTGTCCAGGCAAGGTCAGCCCTGTTCCAGAGGGTTCCAGATGTTCATACTAAGCATGTGCAGCCTTGGCACAATGGTGTGTTGCCTCATCTTTTGTTTCTTGAATGCTGAGGGTCGTTCCAATGGCTGGGTCATTGGTCCAGGTATTGGTTTTGATGGTAGGGTGATTTAGTAGGGGGTCCTGCTATCATTGTATTTCACTCATCCATTCACTCTTTTTTTTCAGGCATTCAAGGAAAACCAATTACATGGGAGAGGTTACAGAATTGCAACATACTTACACAACAGGCCATGGGGACAAGATGGGAACAAGATGGGAATGGATACTTGACATCACTTTACAGACACAGGCCTAAACCATACAATATTAATATAAAACAATAAAAATCAATGCACAAATGATAGGAATACAATATAATACAATATAAAACAGTAAAAACTAATAGAAACATAACAGAACACTATTTACAATATATTAAAAAAGGGGCTTATTACAGTAATAGTATACAAGAACTTAGCTTAGCTTACCTAGTACTACTTGTAATCACTTATAAGGGATAGAGAGGGCAGAGGGAAAGTCAGAAATAGTTGGGGAAGGGGAGGGAATGCATTTTAAAAATAAAACAAAAATGGTGTTTTGCTACATGGCATATAGTTGTTAAGGACCTGCCTTCATTCAGTGATCACATGCCCTCTTCACAAGTACATACTGTTAGACCCCAACTCCATGCAGCACCCAACAACTAGGGAGACAATGATCCAATTGCTCATGGATCCTGTGGTGGGCCAGTAAAGGGTGCTCCTGCCACCCACCTCACTGCACCCAACCACCTTCCAGGATCTGAGTGCCTCCCTGGGGGCACCTCATGTCTGCTCAACCTCCTTCCTGGAGCACACCTGCTAGTCTGGGGGTAGAACTGCCACCACCCAGGGATGGGCTTGATTCTGGCACTGCACCCCCTGGGAAACACAAGCCTAGTAGCTCTCGAGGATACTTGACTCACTTCAAGAACTTGGGGTGCTTCCCTCAGTCGGAAGCACAAGTAGTGGTCTCCCTTAGTCAGCTGAACTAAGGGGACCCCAAGGCATAATCTAGACCCACTCCCAATAATTCTCCCATGCTAGGTACAGAGGAGAACTTCATTGGTTACAAGGAGTAGGGTTGGAATAGAATACAGAGTTGAGTAGTATCAGAGAAATCCCATAGAGCAACCAGGGTGGCTGGAGTAGCCTTTGATCACGCATCTGAGTTACAGCAAACTATATATCTAGTTAGATCTCAGGTAGCTTACCCACAAGTATCATCCAGAGGCAGGTGGTGATTCCCTCTGGAGGCAGGCAGTTCATTGATCATGAGTTTTGAGAGAGAGAGAGCAAGTTTCAGATGGTCCAGCTCTTCTCTCTCTCTGAGTTTTCCTCATGGCTGCTGCCCCCTCCTCCTGGGCAGTCCTTAACTTATATAGCCCTTATGACCTCATTTACCTGATCCAATGGAGGCCAGCACCTGTTGGCTGTCAGCCAGCCAATTTGAAATGCATCACTGGTTGCTGGGCAGACTGGCAGTCTCTATCCCACCAGGGAGCCCAAGTCCCTCACCCATGTATGTGATGCCAGTCACGTAGGCAGAGGGAGCAGGTTTCCCCCCTCCCTCAGGAATGTATCCAGCTCAGGTTACCTAAAGAGATAGGGTAAGGTTTGTATCCCCTGCTGGGCCCATCCTAACCAAATTGTCACAGAGCAGAGTTTTTGGGGAGAAACAGAGGTGGCCTTCTGCCACACATCCTGTTACTCATTAGCCAGAGCAAGCAGGAAGCAAACACCAGCACACATTGCTCGTAACAGTTTTATTCAAAATGGAGACCGCTTCGGGTGAGCTCCCTCACAGACACACAGCCTGTGAACATGGGGAGCAGCAGTGAACATTAGTTTTTTCACATTTTATACACCTTGCTTCATGCTCATTAACATTCACTCCACCTTCTGTTCCAGCCATTTCTCCTCCCATCTCAAGCTCCGCCTCTGTTTACTGTTTACTTCATTAGCCTGGAATTGCCTATGTATTTCATTCATTTACATGTCTCTCTGTTAAGAACACATGCATAAGACTTTGACCTCCGCTTCTTTCGGTCACTTGCTGGTTCTTTCTGATTTCTTGCTGACTTCAGCATCACCTCCAAGGCCTTGCTTCTGCTTTATCTCCTGACGATAGCTGGTGGGCTGCATCTTGTTTTTCTTACACAAGGAATCGTGCATCTTGCACACTACCCCATTATTAGAAAACTGCTTGCTTAAGCATTTGCAAGGTTATTCTTAATACATCATTTTGCTTTGTGACCAGCAGCTTTTGCTGAGACACAGAAAAAAGCCTTTATTCAGTTGCAAATCCAGTGCTCCCTAAAATCCAGATACTGTCACCCTAACATATACTTTGGTTGATTACATGTTAGAGGTTCAGTGATTGAAGGACATTTGTTCTGTGTGTTTGTTTTCGTTTTGATGATCTTTTTCTGAGATGGAAAGTCCCTATTGAGTTTGATAGCAAGGGACGCCTCCCCTGTACTTATATAGTTGGACCTCTTCCCAGCTGGGTGAGGAACAGGACAGAAGGAGAAGCAATGGATAATGCATCCCTAGGGATGGTTGTTTCTGAAGAGTTACAGATGTAGTGAATGGAGGTTTCCTTTTAAAACAAGAGGCAGAGGAAACTGCCCCCAAGAAGCCTCCCCCCCAACCAAGAAGCAACCATTGGCATGCCAAACATCCTACTTTGCTCAATTTGTCATGCTTTTAGAGCTAGTGGTCAGCATGAAACAGCTTGTATTGTACACCAAGTGGCAGAAGAGCATGATCAAAATAGGTCACGCTACCATTTGAGTGGCAGCCCCCGCCCCAGCCACCTGTTTCACAGAAATGTCTGAGTGAAACCTGGTGACAACCCTGAATATCACACAGTTTTCTGATACACAGCAGCTCCCACAGCAGCTTAGCAGTCCTCCTGCTAGTGATGTGTTTATACTTTATCACTCCCTGTGGGTTGTGTGCACTGACTCCTGACTGTAGAATGTTGTGCGCAGGTGTCCAGGAAGCAGTGGTGACTTGCCTGAACAAACAGATAAGAGAGATTACAGATGAAACTCTATGTGTGACCAGTCGCCGTCCTCCACAGCTATTAAAAGCCTGTAATCTGGAGCCCTGTCCCCCAAGGTAGGCTGCTTGTATTATTTCCTTCAATAGCACATGTATACAGGAGAGGAGTAATTATCATTAACTGATGCCTTCCAATGAATGTGCAGCCTCCCACATTCCCAGTGAAACTAGGAAAGTGGGGTCATATTTGCTGGTATGAACCAGGACTTCAGTGAAATGACTATAATTTCTATAATTGAAAACAAGGCCTGAAGTATTTAACCCAATTACATCTTCCCAAATTCAGTTTTCTGGGCCAAGCAGAGATGATTTAACTGTGTGAAATTCCATTGACTATTATACAGAAATTCAGACTAGATGATCTAATGGTCCCTAATGGCCATAAAATCCACGGGTCTAAGTGCTACATGGATGTAAGTCTTACTAATGCTTGTAATAATAACAATTCCAAGATTGTTCAATGGGATTTGGAGGTACCACATCAAAAAACAAATCTAATACACCAGCATGAAGTGATTCCAGCATAATGTTAATACTGTCCTAAGCCATTTAAACAATAGCAATAATATAAGAAACAGAGCACAAAGGAAATATTCCTATCTCCCCCGGAGACACATATCTCTACTGTATTGTACTAATTAACCTCCGTGGGTCTTAGTCTTAATACAGACATTCCATTTCTCCTGGGAGAGTCACTGATCTCCCAGGAGAAACTAAGAGTGTACAGATGTTCCCAGTTTTTTCTCCCACAGAGAAATGGCCAGTCTAGGATAAAAATAACGTGTGAACAATCAGTGTTAAAATAACTTCCAGAATAGTTTCTTATGAGCAAGTGAATGTCTGTACACATTCTCTTTTGAAATAAACCACAGCACAGTCCTCTAGCATTCCAGGCTGCTTTGCTCCTGCCCCCCTCAGAAGATAGTATGTTGCTTTACTACTCCAGCCAAGCAGAGAGTAGAGCATGTCTCCTTCAAAATCCCATATTATACAGCAGGGAGACACAGACTGGCCATGAGTAGTCTGGGTCAGCCAATCAGGGATGCTCTGTTCTCTGCTGCTATCTATTACCATGCTGAGATGTGTGCCCAACCCCCCCCACGCACACCAGCTGTGCAGTGTCAGCATTGCAAGTTCTTGACTCTTCAAGGGCTCAGACTTCAAATGTCTGTTCAGGCATCTCTAGATATTTTTTCTGCAAGAAGAACAAACCCAAGAGAATTCTCCCAAGTGATTTGAATGTGTATATGTAGCCTTAATTTGTTTAGTAATACAGAACAGCACTGAAACTAATGAAGAGCAAACTCAGAGAAGCATCCAAATATTTGCCTGTTGATTTGAACATTGTCTAGACCTGCCTGAAAGACTGGAGATCACTTCCTTTGACTCCCATCATTTTTTATAACCCACAAAAGGCCTCAAGAGCATATTTGTTTCTGTCCTTAACTGTCCTAGTGAAGGATACTGTGGAAAACCCTAACCTTAAAATTAGCAAACCTAAACCTAGAAAAAGGGCAGGGCGCCATATTTATATCACTTCTTAAAAAAAATATATTTTAAAAGGTTCTTCTTTAGTTTTCATTAGATCTTTCCAAATCTAGAGAGAATTGTATGTTTACATTTATAAACTGCATATCTTTCTAATTGTCTAAAGCTTGATTCATAGTTATACTGAAGCTCAAATACATACTTCTGGCAGCATAAAGAATCCTTGAAGTGAGTTTAAGTAATATATGACTATTTAAAAGCCCTTCTACATGGGCAGTGTGGTATAAGAGAAGCCCTACTGTATGCAAGAAGCTGTTCCTTAATCTCTACATATGTTGCATAATTATGTTGTCATATAAATAGGCTTGGGGTGCAGTGTGATCCTGAAGCTAGAAATCAAATGTGTCCAGCATCAAAGAATACTAAAGATATTTGGACAAAGGAAGTAATTTGATTGGATGACAGAAATTTTGAATTGAGTCATAATGACAACCAAATGGACTGAACTTCTTAGCTAAATATTTCAGAACCTGTATTATAAGTATACATTTAGTAAAATGAACTCCTGAGCAGTTGTGCTCTGTTAAACAGTGCGCGCGCACGCACACACACACACACACACACAATTGTTCTCATTTATAAAGCAATTTGAAGATGGAAAGAACTATGAAAATACTAAATGGTACTACCGTGTCTCTCTATAGGTATCACCTATGTACCCGTAACTTAGTGGAGACAGAACTTATTGATGGGGAATTTCTGTTTTAAATAAAGGGAGAGAAAAATGTCTATGAAGTCTAGTATAAAAGTGAAAATATCCATTGACTGAGGGGCCCAAAGCCTGTACTAGGCCTGAGGGGATCTGAGTTTGAGTCTTTCCCCTTTCAGATGGTGCCAGCTCTGCCAGCAGTGCAAAACATCACCCTTTTTGTCCTGTACCTGGAAGTATAGAATTAGTCAAGCAAGTGAAATTTGGAGGGGCCCATCTGGTGTTTTTTGCTTACAGTGTTTCTCTTATGGTTGACATACTGGACCAGATCTTCTGGGAATGGACTTACTCCTAGGTGCTTTTGTTCGTGTATTCATACACTGAAGAATCTATCTATTATAGCAAGATGTTTTTTTCAATATTATTTTAAAAATACAAACAAAATAAATATGTCTTGAAGCTTTTTTTGGCAGGGACCAGCCATATAATGTGTTTGTGCAGGAGTTAACATAACAAGGCCTTTGTTCATGAATGGAGCTCCTAGGGGTAATACAAGTGGAATACAACTAACAAATAGTCATTGTAATAGTACATCTGGTCTAGTGGAAATTCTGTGCATGAATGATGCTACCCAGGAGATCTAAACTTAACTTATGTCTAGATCTAGTTGAATTCTCTCCCCCCCACCTCCAGTGCGCCCACTTCTCCCCACATCCTTGTGTCATTAGCGAATTTGGACAGCGTGCTTTCCATGCCCACCTCCAAGTCGCTGATAAAGATGTTGAATAGCACAGGCCCGAGGACCGAGCCCTGGGGATCTCCACTGCCCACATCCCTCCAGGTCGAAAACGACCCGTCCACCACCACTCTCTGGGTGCGACCATCAAGCCAATTTGCCACCCATCTGACTGTGTAGGCATCAATGCCACAATCGCCTAGTATTTTTATGAGAATGAGGTGAGAAACAGTGTCAAAAAGTCCTTCTTGAAGTCTAGGTAGACAACATCCACCTCAACGCCCACATCCAAGGAGTTGGTGACCTGGTCGTAAAAGGAAATAAGGTTAGTCAGGCAGGATCTGCCCACAGTGAACCCTGTTGGTTCCCCCTGAGCATTACCTCCCATGCTGGGCCCCCACAGATGTGCTCCTTGATAATTTTCTCAAAGGTCTTCCCAAGGACTGAGGTGAGACTAACTGGCCTATAGTTACCTGGGTCCTCCTTCCTCCCCTTCTTGTAAAAGGGGACTACATTGTCCCTTTTCCAGTCCTCTGAGACCTGATCAGAGCACCACGAGCGCTCATACAGCTGTGCCAGGGGTCCTGCTATGTCGTCTGCGAATTCCTTCAGTACCCTTGGATGAAGAGCATCCAGATCTGCTGATTTAAGCATGTCCAGCCCCTCCTAAAGTTCCCTAACTAGATCGTCCCTGACCCTGGGCAATGCACTGTGTCCCCTGAGCCTGTCTGTAATCCTAGTGGGGGAGAAAAATGGAGGCAATGAATTCGTTGAAGAGATCAGCTTTTTCCTTTGCTGCAATCACCAGATTGCCAAGCCTGTCCTGTAGGGGCCCCACGTTACCTGGTGCCTTCTTCTTACTCCCTATGTATTTAAAAAAGGACTTTCTGTTATCCTTTATTCTGGTCGCCAGCCCTAGTTCCGGCTCTGCCTTGGCCTTCCTAACTGCCTCCCTGCAATCACGAGCAACAGACGTGTAATCCTCCTTGGTGATAGCCCCCTGCTTCCACTGATTCTATGCCACCTTTTTTGCCCTCAGGCACTCCTGGATGCCTTTACTGAGCCAGGGGGGCTTTTTAGCACTCTTGCCCCCTTTGGTTCGCATTGAGACTGACTCACTCTGAGCTCGGAGGATCGTTTCCTTAAGGAACAACCACTCATCCTGGACTCCCATCTCATTGAGGCTCTGAGTCCCCAGTGTCTCTCTTACTAATCTCCTTAGCTCATTGAAGTCAGCCTTCCTGAAGTCAAGGACTTTTGCCTTACTGCTTGCTTTCACCACCCTGTGCCAGATAGTAAATTCCAGCAGACGATGGTCACTAATGCCTCGGTAGTCAAGCAGCCGCAGATCCCTCATGAGGTCATCGCCTGTGGCAAGGACCAAGTCCAGCAAGGCATTTCCTCTGATGGGATTGTGTATGTCCTGGGTTAGGTGGAGGTCCTGTATGCAGGCTAAAAAACTACCTGAGCATTCAGACCTGGCTGACTGATCCTCTCAGCAGATGTCTGGGTAGTTTAGGTCACCCATGACAACCACATCCCTTGTCCTTACAGCCTCCGTGAGCTGACCTGAAAATTTCAGGTCCAGCTCATCCCCCTGTCCTCCTCATGCTCATTCCTCTGCTCTTTGCACAGCTCCCTGCTCTCACTCTTGGCTGTGTAACTTTTATGTGGCCCCTTTGGCCTGTAAAGCCTCTCATTCCCACCGCACTAATCAGTTCCTCTCTCTCTCTCCTTTGATGTTCCTTTGTAAAACATGCTCTCATGAATGCTTCCAAAACTGTTCTTCTCCCCACCAGTATGAGCACTCCTTTAGATTTGAATGATCCTGTGTTGCAGTATGTGTAATGAGAAAGATACTCAGTGAATGTAAATTACCATGGCTCCCCTGGATAATAGATTCATGTTAGACAGTAAGGCTAGAGACAAAAGTAACACATAAGCTGGTTTAAGTGATCAGAAACTGGTTTAAACCTGTAACACAACAGAAGTTTGGTGCACATAAACCAGGTCTGGTCATTTTGAAAGTGGTTTATGGAACTTCTGTCCCAGATCCCTTCCTGGTTTAACAGTCCCCTAGCATCCTAGTATGCTTTGCAGCACTGGGCTATGCTGCCCGCTCCA